ACAGAAGCCACCCCTGTAGCACCCCCCACTACCAAAACCTTGCCACGCAAACCCAATACATCTTCACACTGCACTAACCCCTTCCATCTCCACACATCTCACCGAAAATGCTGCATATTGATCAGGCCAACAGCAGGGGCAAAAGCCCACAGAGCCGCTACATCTGGGACAAGGAGGTGCTGGACTGTTGCCTACTTTTTAATTTAATGTCCAAGAAGTATGTGACATAAAATTAAAAAGTAGCACCTTTGCAGATACCCCCTGTGGGATGTTCAGTGTCTGATCTGGCACAAATGTCTCTGAAACATCCCCCTGGAGATGCTGCACATCCTCCTCCTTCACCAGCCTCTCCGTCCTGGATGCAGGACAGTGAAGCTGAGGGATTGCCACGTGTCCTCCTTTTCTGAGGGTACTTTTAACTGAAAAGAACAAATTTGCCTTATGTTATTGTTGAGGCAAATAATAACGGAAGCTTCAGAAGCATCTCCATTATAAATTCACAGCTCTGATTCATGCAGAGTTTATAATAACATTTTACTTAGCCGGCTGCCACAGGGCAGCTACTGCTTCTCTTGGAGATTGTCTCCAGACTCTGTGGTGTCTCATCTGAGTGGGGAGTTTCTCTCTCCCCTTGATGAAGGCTTTCTTTGAAGATTAGGGTCTTGCACAGTTATGGAAATGGTTTGGAAAGGCAGGAACAGAGAAAGGAAATGTTACACTTTTGGTGATTGGACTGGAGCTGCAGATGGGGTTTTGCTGAGAGCGGCTGTGAAATGGTCCCCATGAGCATCATCTGAACTCCAGAGGGCTTCTTGGTTTGGAAGCATTTCTGGCCCTCCATTTCTGGCCCCCAAACTGCTGGTGGAGGGGTGGGATTCTTCACAGAATGCCCTTCTCTGTGCTGTTTCTCTGACTCCTGTAGCCCAGATGCAAACCCCTTTGCTTTCAGCAGTGGGGAGTTATGTATAAGCGGCTTCAGAAAGCCACAGGAAAATCCAGCCATGTACGGTCTGAAAATAAAGGTTCATTACTTGACTTACTTTTTTACCTGTGTTTTCAACCTACACCAGGGATCAAACCAGCAAGAGACTGCTCCCACACCACGAAGAACAAGCTCTGACAGGCCACCCAGTCTGACGTGCACACGTTCCCCAAATCTTTAAGCATATTCACTTATTAACAGAGAACAAAATATTTCAAAGAAAGTGGTGGAATCCTAAGAGTCTTCCCTTCTTCACCATGAAAATTTAATCACAAGCAATTTCACTTATTCTCCGTGCTGCAAATACACCAAAAAGCCTCCTGACTTGATAAGGGTAAGAAACCCTGGGCGCCCAGGAGGATCAGGTGCAGTTACATAGTGAAGACATTCAATGCAATTTCAAGCTTTGAGCTCAGCTTGACAAGGCAGGATTTTCACGTTCTTCGTGGTTCTTCGCGTTGTGATCACTGTGGGTTACATAACAGTGGAAAGTCAACACCAGCATCAGCGGTGTCTTGACAAATCCGCCCTGCTTCTTGCCTGCAAGCTCTGAGTAAGGGATGGTTCATTATGCAGAAGTCCTAGTGTACCAGTGATGATCATGTAAATCCCCTGTTGTTCACTTTGATGTGCCTTTAAACTACAGTTGTGGCACTTCACTAGCTTAAGAATAAGGGGTCCTCCCCTGCTTGCAGTGAAAACATTGGCATTTCGATTTCAGACTGGCTGCTGACATCAACGGAAGTTAAACTGTTGCATTTTACTTTGTTGAATGTTTTCTGTTTAAGCAGAAAATATATACATATGGATACCTGTATACTTACATACATATATGCATCCATATACACCTGTGTCTAGAACTACTGCTAAGCTTGAAGAGGTTTTGTAACGTGGCACCAGATAAGGCTGTCAGCCATCACTGCAGAGCAATAAATAAAAGGACCCTACTGAAATACCATCTAGCAGGTAAGATGATGTCTCCCTTAAAGTTTCAGCAAAGTAGCATCTGCAGACACACACACATAGCCTAGGGTCAGAGAACAGGACAAGCTCACAAGCTCACACGTTCCTACCAGCGTAACCTCATTGGCATTTCACTGATGTCATTTTTCCTAATATCCAAGCTGTAAGTATTAAGAATGACTGCAACTTATTAGCTACAACGGAGCAGGGCTCTTTTTTTCAACACAGAGCTATTCTTAAATCATGTTGCCCTTTAAACATTAGGGTTTCACCCCAAGCTGTTGATTAAAACTTTTTGTTAGAGAAGGACAGACAGCAAAATATGCAGGCTTTGCCCATCACAGCATGTACTATTCTTCTCAGGTGCAGTGCACAGCGCGTGTTGTGCAACCTACAGATCACAGGAGCCTATTCGTGATGCCTTCGCTTTTTTGGTAGTCAGAGGGAGCATCCACAGGCATCTTATCTGGGAAGAGATTCAGCGAACGCTGAATGGATCCGGTTATGTTTTGGCTGTGTGTAATGACTGCTGAAGCATTCACTGTAACTGAATGGGAAGTGAATGCTCAAATGAAGATAAAGCCCTGTTCTTTGGAGGCAAGGAGGGAAACAGAATTTGGTACTTGCTGCAGCTACCTTGAGGGCTCCAGCTCTCCTAATGCTGAAGGCAATGGACTGAGGAAAGAAGGGATGGTAGTTATTTACAGTCTTACTTCTCAGAGTCTTTGGACAAGATCCTCTGCTGATCTAACCTAGGGATTGGTTTTCCCCTAACTGGAGCTATTCTGAGTTGAGGATCTGGCCCACACTATGTGTTTACTGCTTGATACTAGGAAAAGGAAAATTTCTCCAACTTTCTTCTGCCAGGAAACTCAATCAGAGGAAAATCCTCTCTCCTTTCCTTCTGTTGCCAGGAAATTCTCCCTCCTGCACTCCCAGCTTTCACAGAGGATCACTTGACTGATCTCCTGCAGCGAGACACTACCCCTGATTCACAGCTAAAGGGAGCTTTCTGCCTCAAAAAGGAGCAAATGCAGCCTCCGCCCCAAACCTGCCAGGCAGGGCAGGGCTGCACAGCCCAGGCACCATTCCCTCTTACAGCGCTCCAGAAGCTACGGAGGAGCAGGACGCGGAGGTGAGGCTCCAATGCTGGGAGGTGCCTTCAGCATCTCAGAGTTTATCGGAGCTTGCGGTGGGCTGGGCTGAGTTGAGAAACCCAGAACCAGCGGCACACGCTTAGTAAAAGTATTCAGGACTCCTGCACAGAGAGAGATGAGAAACGACAGGTTCGAGCACTCATATTCCAAGGTAGAGCAGGTATGAAATAACTGCAGGCTTCTGGCAAATCTTGTGGCCTTAGCTAGCTGAAAGTGTGACAGCTATGGATGTGCTTTGGCTTTGCCCTTACCTTCACGACGGTCACCATGCCTTCGTTGGTGACGGGGTCCGTCCGGATGGTGAAATGGCCAGAGGGGTCTCCACTGATAATGCGGTAGATGGCATTCCAGTTGGGAGAGTGAGGCTGGTCCCGGTCCATCACCGTCAGATTTGCCACCACAACCTCCACTCTGTTCTCAGGAACTTCTCCTGAATACTGCAAATAAAAGACAGGAGCGGTCATGGTGGGAGCTTTCTGTCGGTCCTCGCGGCTACCTCCCCTCTCCCCTCCAGCAGCACGCTGACTGGGACATCAGTCCCATGAAGAGGGCCACGGGGTTGTACGTTATGAGCAACACATCCCTTTCTCACTTCTGGCCTTCCTATTTTTTTCTTTGAATATTTTTCCAAACCTTTCAAAGCCGAGGCTCACCTCTGAGCTCAAAGGCGAACAAACCTGTTACCACCCAGCCACTTGCCCAAGTTTCAGCAAATGCTTGATGTAAATGAACAAAAAATGTCCTGATATTCTTGTTCAGTTACAGCAATCAGTGTTAATTGTCAACAGCAGGTAAAAATGGCAGACTGAAATGTGCATTTTTTTAGGATGACTATGTCTCTTTAACCTGAGGTATTTTGCCTCACTCAGATTTCAGTGATGGCATTTTATTGCTTCTTCAGTGATTTTACTTCATTTTCTTTCCTTCTTGCCCTTGATTTGATTTTGCCTCATTATTTAAAGTGTTTCTTGTGATTTTGCCATAGCTTTTCCTGGTGCTTAATTCTCTCATTTAGCACTGATTTTCATGGACCATGTCCAGTTCAGGCATATCCTGGCACATTAGCTGCATTCTTTTCTGCTTTACAGTCCTTGATTTATCACACGGCTGATCAGGGATCCTGGCCTGTGAATACTTCCAGTGTTTGGGGCTCAAAAGCTGCCAGTAAGACACATTCCCAAATTTTCAACTGTCCTCATCTCTCAGCATCGCCTATTAGCAGCACTTGCGAATCAACACTCTGATTGACATATGGCAAATTAAACACTGGGGAAACGATGGGAGCGGCTGGCTCTGAGTCTGCAACTGAAATCCTGGCCCCAAACTGCAGGAGCAGAGCAATTCTGAAAATCTGGCCTTTGGTGTGCACAAATGCCAGGTTATGTAAATGATAATAAATCATTCCTTTGTTAGCACAAGAGTCCCCTTCCACTCCTAACCCATACCCATCCATTGGAGTCTCTCAGTTATGTGCGCTTATATTTAGTATATATTATTCCACCACTGACAGCAAAAATATTCAATCTGCCTTGTGTTAATGTAAATTTACATTTGCCCTTTAGTGGCATCCGGAATGGCATTTTGCCCTCTTTTCCGTTATGCACCTGTCCTAAACAAGTTTTCATTAGTGAATGCAGATGGCATCTCTTTCCAGCCGTGCTGAGTGGTGGGGAAGAACAGTGGGAAACTGTGGGATAATTCTAGTTCCAGTACATGCTACTGTTCTTCTTTTCTCTTTATTTCCTATGATTTTACTCGTTTTTTACCCATTCTCTCACCTGATTTGGAATCTCTGCGGCACACAGCTTAAGCAGGGGAAGTATTGTACGGAAATTTGTCAAAAGCCTCTTGAAAAATCCCTTAGATTATGTCATATGTACACTCCTATTATCAACCTTGTCTGAAACTTGTTCAAAAGAACTCAAGGAGATTAGTTAAGCAGGATCGTCTCTTACTAAATCCACACTAGTTATTGCCCATTACATTAAATTAATGTTGTATGGCATGCTAGCAATGACAAGTTGATGAGGCCCCAGCCTCTTTTAGGAGATGGCTGCACTGCTAACATCAAGGTATCGTACTGTAATTTCAGAGGAGTTCAGCACTTTGTGCAACCATCTCAGGTCTTTGACCTCGGACCACAGTTTTTTGTCTGTTACTACCAGCCTTATGCCTTGCAGAACCGAAGAGAATTAACTCATCAAGGGCAAGCCATCAGTTGTACTTAAGACATATAAGAAGGCCAGTCCTACAGGCTGCTGAACACCTTTAGCAGATCGTAACCCAGGTGCTGCCAATGAGTCTGGGTTACATGGAAAAACCCCATACAATTGCCAACAGATTTTATAGCAGCTTCTGTAAAAGCCATCACAACATCCGTTTTTGGCCCGTAGTGATAAAGTTCACTACAACACACAGTTTAAAAATATGAGGTATATAAAAAATCATAAATACATAAGCACATCTCAATATAAAGACTGGAGGAAGACTGTAACAGTCTATAAAGCTTTTCCATTAGGGTAAAAATCGCAATGCTCTGCATATACTGAGCAATCCAGGAGTTCATCCAGTTGTCGTTGATACCTGTTAGGTATAGTTAGGGAATGATCAGTCCTGTGCAACACTGAGGGTGGATATTGTCTATTATGCTTATAAAGCCAACTGTTTTTCTGATGAGAACAGAGTACAAACACAGGAATCAAACGAGCCATCCAAAGCTGTTCAGGTTAAGAAGCAAATCTTGGAGAGACGCACCCTGAAGAACAGAACAATTTTCATCAGCTACAGATCAGCAGCTACTGGGAATCCAAACCGGAGCCTGTCTTTCCTCCTTCTCACACTCCCCCACTATCATTATTATAAGTAAATGCTGTAATGTGTATTGTCCACAATTGTCTTTACCTTTAATAAAATTAAGTAATGACATTAAATTACATCTGCTAAAGGAAGGATGGCAGCTCAAAGCGACCCACACTTCCTTAATGTCTTTCCCTCCCTACCATGGAGTAATTTAGGATAATGAACAATGCCATCTTTCACTGTGCTGCTTTGCAGCATTCCCTGTGCTGTAAGTTCTCTTTCATAAGATTACAATTGATTTTCAAATAAAGAGAAGCACATCTATTCAAACAAGGTAAAACAATGGGCAACGGAGGAGCTGCTGGAGTAAACATAAGATTGATAAAGCAATGCTTGACCTATACTTGTAGCATTTACTCATATTCCCCTGTAATTCATTTAGCTTCACTTTCAATTGTTGCATTTGAAATCCTTAATTTCCAGAGTGCTTTTTTAAAGACCATTCACGAGGATTTCTATGGCTGATTGTTACACACTCCGCTTCCCTTCTGAGATAAGGATTTGCTCTGAACCTGGCATGTTCTTAAATCCTTGAATTCTGTAGAGTTTTTTTTCTTCCCCTCCCACAAAAGCCTCTGCTAGCAAAAGTCCTGCTCTCATTCCCCTAGAGCCGGTCCGTGTGAAGTCATGCCTTGTTGAAAAGGTAATAATTCATTCTGATTTTCAGGTTGCATCAGATTATACTAAAATTGGTTAATCCCAGAGTTTGCCTTTGGTCTCACTCGGTACCTGACAGCATATAAACACTCAGACAACACGGGGGAGAAAGGGACTGATGTGGGGGGACAAATGATGAATTCGCACGACGACTTGACTTTGTGCAATAAATCTGGAGGCTGGGCGGTGAAGCCACGCACAGCAGAGTAAAACCAATTAGCTCACTGCAGCCACTCCTAGGGAGGTGTGGAATTGAGATGGATGAATACAAAGATAATTATTCAGGCTTCCTTCTAAAGGGAATTCCTTTTTTCCAATGTTCTTACTTTTTTCTAGCTGGTTTTGCTAAAAAGCTGTGAAAGCAATGACTTGTTCACGTGGATGTCTGCAGGAAAAATTTTTGTGTTGTCTCCAAGACTTGCTAATGATGACACAACATTTGTTACAGGCAGAAGTAGTTTATGAGGGCTGAATTGCCTAGAGAAATCGAGTATTTTATGACCTATAGCTATGGATTAACTTAGAAGAATAAGGGCATCTTGGTCCTCTTATTAGACTCAGAGCCCTCCCCCTGACAGCTACGACTGCTGCAAAGTGCAGCATCTTCTCTCTAGGTCCCCTCGGTCAAGAGAAACCAAAATGAGAGTGAGTGAGCACACGTCTGCACGTGGCACGGGGTGTCCCACCTCTCACCGCTTTCTGCTGCCAGGCCACCCTGTTACGCAGCGAGCTCTCGACAGGGCGCGATGTGCAGCCGGGGAACCCAGCGCGCAGAGGGCTGCGCTTGCCCACTGTCACCCCACAGCTCCTCCACGCTCCAGGATATGCTGCCAACCAAGCGCTGGCACGCGAGCCAACTGTTTACCTTTTCCCCACAATATTTAACAAAGACGCTTGAATAGCAGGCAAATTAATAAACTACTGCGGTCTGGTTGCAGCAATCTGTGTAAAATGGAAAAAAAAGGCGAAAATCTCCTAATAAATCATTAATTGTGATGTGCCTGCCCAGCTGCAGCACAGAAACAAGCAAATGCCATCCTAATTGATTGCTTCTTATTCCATCTTTACAGGCCTGCATTTTTTATTGTGAGGGTTGAATAAGCCCAGAGGTGTAAAAAACCTCTAGATTGTACTCTGTGTATCTGCCAACTTGATATTTAGATCAATAATCCTCTTTTTTTTCCCCCTACTCCTACTACCGGTAATTTAGCTTTTCTTCCTAGCAGCCTAATTGCTGTTTTCTTAAGCCTTACTATCAATTCTCTGACCTTTAATTTCCAATATCGTTTGCTGTATGGACGACTGTACTAGGTCTGCAAGTTACCCTACCCCCTCCGCGCCGTAGGGGTCAGACTTGGGTATCAGCGTCTGTGACAGCCAAAGTGACCTCCAGGTTCTCGCTCCACTGCTGCTGTTGTGCAGCAGAGACCACAAGCTCACTCCAATCTCCACAAAATCCCCATAAAGTCAACCACATTTTGTGTGCAAATCAGATTTTGAGACGCTCATTTCTTAATCGTGTTTTATTAAAGAACTACTCACTCTGGTGTGGTCTCGAACGATGATCACCCTCTAAGTGCCGAAGTCCTCACTTTTTTCTGAGGCAGCCCACGGCACCCCTGCTCTGCATTACACCAGCCAGCAACCCCTACAAAAGTCTCTTTGCTGCTGGATTTTCAGGCTCATGCCCACAACATCCCCTGCACTGCAGCGTCCCTGCTTCAACTTCACATTCACTTGGAGCACAGTCAATCCACGTATGCGTCTCATACTTCAGACTAGTTATATGCCATGTGGCAAATGCTTCCCAAAACGTTATCTATAAAGCCCAGCGCACTCTTGCCAGCTCGCAGTTTTGCTCCGCTGGTACGAGGCCCAGCTGTCACGGTGCTCATTCAGAAATGAATTGCTCGGGCAGCAG